GGACGGGGGACAGGGGACGGGGACGGGGGATAGGAGATGGGGGACAGGGGATAGGAGGACGGGGACAGGAGACAGGGGATGGGAGACAGGGGGATGGGGACGGGGGATAGGAGACAGGGGACAGGAGACGGGGGCAGGAGACAGGGAAGGGACAGGAGACGGGACAGTAAACAGGAGATGGGACAGGGGACAGGAGAATGGAAACGGACAGGAAACAGGGACAGGAAACGGACAGAAAACAGGGACAAGAGACAGGAAATAGGAAACAGTGGACAGGAGACAAGAAAGAGGGACAGGAAACAGTGGACAGGAAACAAGAAACAGGGACAGGGGACAGGAAACAGGACAAGAAACAGGGACAGGAGACAGGAAACAGGGACAGGAAATAGGAAACAGTGGACAGGAAACAGGGACAGGGGACCGGAAACAGGGACAGGAGACAGGGGACAGGAGACAGACAGGGACAGGGGACAGGAAACAGGGACAGGGGACTGGAAACAGGGACAGGGGACCAGGGACAGGGGACCAGGGACAGGGACAGGGGACCGGAAACAGGGACAGGAGACAGACAGGGACAGGGGACAGGAAACAGGGACAGGGGACTGGAAACAGGGACAGGGGACAGGAAACAGGGACAGGGGACCGGAAACAGGGACAGGGGACCAGAAACAGGGACAGGGGACAGGAAACAGTGGACAGGAGACAGGAAACAGGGACAGGAAACAGGAGACAGGAAACAGGAAGCAATGGACAGGAGATAAGAAACAGGAAGCAATGGACAGGAGATAAGAAACAGGGACAGGAAACAGGGACAGGGGACCAGAAACAGGGACAGGGGACCAGAAACGGACAGGGGACAGGAAACAGGGACAAGGGTTTGGAAACAGGCACAGGGGACAGGAAACAGTGGACAGGAGACAGGAAACAGGGACAGGAAACAGTGGACAGGAGACAGGAAACAGGAAGCAATGGACAGGAGATAAGAAACAGGGACAGGAAACAGGGACAGGGGACAGGAGACGGGACAGGAAACAGGGACAGGAAACAGTGGACAGGGACAGGAAACAGGAAGCAATGGACAGGACATAAGAAACAGGAGACAGGGACAGGAGACAGGGACAGGAGACAGGAAACAGGGACAGGAAATAGGAAACAGGGACAGGAAATAGGAAACAGGGACAGGAGACAAGAAACAGGGACAGGAAATAGGAAACGGACAGGAGACAGGAAACAGGGACAGGAGACAGGAAACAGGGACAGGAAATAGGAAACGGACAGGAGACAGGAAACAGGGACAGGAAATAGGAAACAGGGACAGGAAATAGGAAACAGGGACAGGAGACAGGAAACAGGGACAGGAAATAGGAAACAGGGACAGGAGACAGGAAACAGGGACAG